ATGGCTAGTTTCTTGGAAGGAACTCTTATTCCATTAGCGCAACTATCAGTTCTAATGGATCCGCGATGCGGGAGAATGGGTTCAGTTCGTGTATATGATAGGTTCAGTCCCAATTGCTAGTAATTCGATCACCAACGACGTGTATCTGAAAGACCGAAACACGGATGTTTGCGGACGATGTATTTCAAATGCACCCTGATCAGCGAACCGAAAATCAAAAGAAGCGCGAGGCGTACAAGGCTTGAAGAAGGAGTGTGGAAATTCTCAGGCACACTGTCTAAAAACTGCATGATACGTTCCGGGGAACAAGTTGAGGTTGCTACGAACCAATGATAGCATCCCACGGATCCATGGGTGATTTAGACAGATCCAATCACTTTCACCAGTTAAAATAGCGTTTCGGCGGTGAAATCAGGTGGCGTTGGCAATATACAGAGATTTGGTTCATCTTGACCACAGGACCTGGCAGCGTAGAGGTCCTCAAGTAGCTTCATCGCGAACTCTTTTTCAATGAGTGCATGCCACTGGTGGAAGCGGTGCCCACCGTTTTCCTAATATATTTGAACGAGTTGCCTCTGCCAGTTTCCTTCAAAATCTCTATTTTACTGGCAGTGTGAGACCATAAAGGGGAGTCAGTGGTCATGAAGATTGTGTCTTCAGTCAGAAAGACTTAACTTCAAAACTGGGTGGTCAATAACTGGCCCGCACCTAACCATGTAAAAGGCTGGGTAGTACATCTAAAACTCAATGCACGTCATGCATATAGTCTCGGCTGTATGGAACTGGGAACGTCGCAGGTGAGGAAGAGTTCGGTAGTTTCAGGCCAGCTGTCACAGAAGCGCATTTCCAGAAAACTTGGCATCAGCAACCCCAATGGATTTCCGGGCCATTCGATCGTAGATGTTTCCGCCTAATTTTCATCAGCTTCTTATGACCTCTTCTGGAGTTGGGGGCTATAGCCTTCCCACTTATCAGCAGGAGCATAACTTAAGCCTCGGACGTATCCAGAGGTGCGAAATCAAAACTGTTCCAGAACTTATGTCCTAGGTGCTTGGGTTTGGACTTATTGAGCTTAATCTACGCCATATGGAATGCAGAATGCTTAGAAAGGATCTGGAGTCGACCAACAACATATAAAACACCCCTGAACCCCCACTCCGTGGCTTAGCGTCGTGATTTTCTCCCCGTTGATTTGTGGACAAGTTAACAAACGTTGGAACTTGAGACCCGCTGATTCTAGACGCGGCAGCCGGGCAAACGGAGGCTGCTGTTCCACCAACAACCATTTGAAGTAACGAAGTGACGACGTCTTCATTTCTCCCACATTTTATTGTAGTATAATTGGTCTATCGTCGCCGGACGGTACTGGCATTTCTGTTTGCTCATTCTCCGTTTAGAACAAAATAAATTTGACAATTAGGCTTTTCCAGTGGCTTTTGACTTCGCAGCGCCTTAGTCTGGACCAATAAAGATTGGTTGCAGCGGGGAAACTTCTCAGTCTTTCGATTCATAATCTGATTAATCGGTCTACCTACTTATCCACGCAGGACATTCGGTAGGTTCATGTAGGAGCAACCAAGAGAGGTGACGGCGGGTATGTCTTCATTCTGCTCTCAAATTTGCTGCACATGGTTCAGATGGCTGCTGACAGAATAGAATAAGGTTAATTGGTGTCCACATCCAAAATCCGTGGATCGCTAATTCTTGTGTTTGCTAACCCGTGAACAAGTAAAGAAAGGGCAAAACGTGGAGCTCAAAACGCATAAATTCATATGGTTCTGAGTAGATCACAGTCACATGTCAAACAATCACTCAGCTAGTGTTTAAAGGATTCAGACGAAATAGCCCGGATCACATCTGCGGGAAGAGAATTCCAGGGTTTGATAACTCTTAAACAATAGCAGTTGCGCCTGAAATTCAACCTGCTATGTTCTAGGCTTAGTTTCTGTGTGTCCTGTAACATTAGTGCCACAGCTGAGATTCAGTAAGAGACGGAGTGGATGTCCAGGCGTGCTCAGGATGCTGTGAGTCGTTATGAATTCCCCTCTCAGCCTTCTGTGCTCCATGGGATGCAGATTCGGTGCAACCAGTCGTTCTTCCTTTGTTTCAGACTTAAGACCTCGAACAGATTTTTTCGAGCAACTCTGGATGCGTTCCAAGCTCAATTTGTCCTTCTGGAGAGAAGGGGGAGGATGGCGGTTCCTCGTTTAAGGACAACTAGCGTCAAGTTCCCACGGAACGCGTTTTAGTCACAGTTGGCATAGGATTCTAAGTCTTGAGGAACCGAAACGCCTAAGTCGTCCAATGGTGATGCCATATGCATGACATGTATCATGCTTGGCGTGTGCAACCTTGCATTTTTCGGGAACGAATGCAGGCCCATTATTGGTCGTCCAGTTGTGAAGTTAAGTTTGTTTACTGGGAAGCACTGTACTCACTCTTGATTTCTCTCTATAGTTTTACGCCATCGGCAAAAATTGGGATCGTGGAGAAACCCTGTCGATGCAAGTCATTTACATGCATTAGAAAAGGAAGAGGTCCTAGTGCTGAACCTTGAGGAATACCACCAGGACATTTCGTTCCTTTAGACACAGAAAACTCACTCCGTTTTTGAATAGATGGCGTCATAGATATGAAGACAGCCAGTCAATGAGCAGTGGTCTTACCCCGATTAATTCCGATTTATTAATTTATCATCAGCTTATTGTTATTTATTGCCAACAGGATCAAACGCCTCAGCAAAGTTTAGATAAATAACATCAATTCGACCTCTACGATCAACAATCCATCAATCTGCTGCAGTTAGCGGATTAGTAATGCGGGGGTACCTTTTTCTAAATCCATGTTGTTGGGGAGTAAGGCAGTTGGCCGCCGTAAGGTGACCCCTCAACTCATCACAGATTAGCGATTGCGTTACTTTGGGAGGTAGGGATAAAAGCGTCGCCGGTCTTTCTTTGGGTTACTACGTCAACCTTCTTTGAAGATTGGCGTTGTGCCCCGACGTCCAGGGTACTTTCTCTGGGCTTACTTAAAGGTTTGGATAAGACTGATGCTCCCTCTCTCAGTACCGCCCTGTTGATTTCATCTGGTCTCGAAGAGGTGTCTTTCATGAGTAGTAGCAGTTTGCGCCGTACTAGCTCAACGCTTAAGTTAGCGACTGAAAATCCTGTTTCCTTAGTGGGAATTCATAAACTCACGAGTAGGTGGACTATAACGAAAAGGTTCACAAATGTTGGAAGGCTAGGAGCTCAGCTGCTCCACTGTTGCCACTGGTTTATCAACTGGTACCTTGTAGTTAGTAGACTCCCGCTTTAGCCTACCGGAACGATGCAGCGTAGCGGAATGGACTCCTGGGGTTAGAAACAAACATGTCCGTAAGCCAAACCTGAAGCCTTTGCCAACTGGCTCTCAGTGACCTTGCACATGTGTTTCTTGTCTGTTTGAATGCTTTGTAAGTGTATTCGGTGCCAGTCCTTTTGTGTTCGGCCCAGTAGTGTCCATTTAATTAAGCAGTTTGGGAGTGTGGCTCCTTATAACCTTATGCAGCTTGGAGCACTTTGGTCTTGAGAGTGGTACGGACTGGCTGATTGCATGCATGATTTCGTCAAGTGAGAATCTTCACTGGGTGTTCATATCCTGTCATGCATGGTTAAATTTCCAGTCTGTCTGTTCAGCGCCATTTGAAGCGCCAAAATGTTAAGTGTTGCGGAGTTTCGGTGACTCTTGTTAAAAGGTCTGGTTAGATTTTTTTTGCAGACACACCGTAAGCCGTTAACAACGTGAGCACTCTTGCCGAAAGGAAGAAGGATTGCCAAGTTGTCTGTCAGGAATTCTGTACTTGTGAAGATGCAGCCTAAGCAAAATAGGTTTTTAGTATCCCTCGATCGCATTACCGTTCTCACATTTTCCGTAAGTCCCAGTCCCTCAATCAGACGGAAGAAGTGGGCTTCAGTGGAGTCACATCCCCCACTAAACATGTGATCTCCAGAGCTGACCTTCGATAGGTTAGAGTTTATGTGCGTGCCACAGTTTAAAAGAGAAACTGCTTACCTCTAGCATCTGACCATACTATACACCAGCAGATTGCTTTCAGTAAATTACTCCCACCAAGCACTTTATAGTCTTGGACAGTTTTATGGTGTGCCAGATGGACTTCTCGAGGCATTTCAGTTCTTGAGAAGAGGTGATATGAAGTGCCAACACGTTACCAGCCTTCCCGCCGTTGAGAAACAGCACGGTGTTAGCAACTACCAGCTCCTGATTTGACATGTCAAGATAAACCCGTGTCCTGGTAGCGCCAATAAGATGAACAGAGGTGTTCTTACTTAGTTCCCGCAGTTCATCGAGTTTGTTCGGCAAACGTTTTCCATTTTCATTGCTGCTTGTTGTTCTGAGATCTATCAAGCTGCATACGGACTCCAGGTGGTAGGCAAATCCTGTTCACCCAGAATGCCTCCAGTGCAGATGTTACCGTTTGAGAGGCCAGAAGAACCACTTTGATCAACCCTGGGCTAAGTTCATCATTTCTCCTGGCGTCCATGAGACGCTTTAAGTTACTAATTCCTTGAGGTCTGCAGATTTCTTAAAGAACTTCCACTCGCTAGGACCGTGGTGAATATCCTCTGTCTGGGTTGCTTCCTCTAAAGTAAACGTCACAATTGTAGCCTGAGAGTTACTTTGCAGTCATTCTCTCAAAGTGTGGGGTATCTGGTAGTATCCTCACTTCCCCATCAGCTTTTAGCATGTGAGATGCTAAGAGCACATAATCAACAGTATCTGAGTTGGAGAATGTAAGCCTTAAGAGAATGTTTTCCACAACCCTGCATGTTTTATTCGCCCATTTTCTTATGAATGAGTACTCTTCATGAAGTCAGTTTGAAAGTAATGTACATATGTAGTTTAAGCTGAAAACCAGTGCAATTGAGTGTTGAAGGTGTGTCGCCTTGTTTAAGTCATCATAATATTGTTCGAGTCACTTAGTGTGTAGCCATTTTATAATAATGACCAGAATTGGATCTAGGTTTCAGAGTTCCAGATCGCCTCCTAGAAGGTTTGTTCCTCGCAACTGTAGGTGTTAATTGAACCCATTTCAGGTGGCCTTCTAATAGCCAACATGTTAAACGTGGAAAGTTGGAAATGGACATGGATTTTGCGGCTCCTGATTGGAAAACAACCGAACTGTCGAAGTTCGAAAAGCACTTTTACCAAGAGCACCCCTCATCAGCTTCCAGATCAGAGGCGGAAGTGGAAGCATTCCGGATGAAGTATAGAATGTCACTTTCAGGAAGGGATGTTCCACGCCCTGTTTTGTCATTCAGTGAGCTGAACGTTCCTGATTACATTTTAAGTGTGATTGCTAAAAATGGTTGGCAGCTCCCAACGCCCATACAGTCACAAGGATGGCCTATGGCGCTTTCCGGGAGAGATGTTGTTGGGATAGCCCAAACTGGGTCAGGCAAGACGGCAACATTTCTATTACCGGCCATTATCCACATTATGGCACAGCCCAAACTGTTACGTAATGAAGGGCCGATATGTCTCGTTCTCGTTCCTACCCGTGAATTAGCTCAGCAGGTTCTTAGTGTTGCAACAGAATTTGCAAACGCAGCAGGCTTACGAGCGCTGTGTTTCTACGGTGGATCTGCCAAAGGCACCCAACTCCGCGAGATGCAAAGAGGCGGTGAGATATGTATCGCTACCCCTGGTCGACTTATTGATTTTATCCGAGCTCAAAGGTAAATCCAAATAATAACCCTGACTCCCCTTTCAGAAATTTGCTTTCGAGGGTGACATACTTAGTCCTGGATGAAGCTGATCGGATGTTGGATATGGGCTTTGAACCGCAAATTAGAAAAATCATTAGCCACATACGCCCTGATCGTCAAACGCTTATGTGGTCTGCAACTTGGCCACGGGAGGTCCAAACCTTGGCCAGAGAATTTCTCGTCGACTATATCCAGGTCAACATTGGGTCCGTCTCACTCCACGCCAACCCAAATATCACTCAAATTGTTGAGATAGTAGATGATTGGAGTAAAGAGCAACGATTAATAGGTCTCCTGGCAAGCTTTGGACGAGCACGTACTCTTGTGTTTGTTGAAACTAAACGCCGTACTGATCAGCTAACAAATTCTCTACGGCGTCGTGGGTTTTTTGTCGAATCAATGCATGGTGGTAAGCAGCAGAGAGACAGAGAAATGACACTTGCAAGTAAGCACTATTTATTTATGTTATCATATCCTTAGGTTTCAAAAGTGGAAGAGTCAACATACTTGTGGCCACAGATGTGGCATCTCGGGGTCTCGGTACGTTTTTCTACTTTTTGTTACGCTTAAACTTCAGCTTTCTGGACTGTGGGTTAACAGGTTTTTTTCTTTCTAGATATTGATGACATAGAGTATGTCGTTAACTTTGATTTTCCTAATCAAACTGAGGACTACATCCATCGTATTGGGCGTACTGCACGTAGCAACAAGACAGGAACCGCATTCACTTTCTTCACACACAAGAATGCCAGACAAGCTCGTGATCTAATTGAAATATTGGATGAAGCTAACCAAGAGATAAGTCAGGAACTCATCCAGCTGGCTGGCATGCCCAGTTATCTCAGGAAATCTGGAGCTGTCAAAAAAAGTAAGTCCCTTTACTCTGGTTGTTGATTTTATTTGGTTATAATAACGCAAGCCAAATGATGACGTACGGATCATATCTTAGGTTATAAGTAAGACGGCTATCGCTGGAGAGTTAGTGCACAATTGGTGTTGATGTTCGAGCACTTGCAAGCCACTTTGTGACGTCCTGTATGCTTCTTGTCAACTTGTTTTTATATTGCTTGGTGCCCAGGCTGGTCACCAAGTTGCCACACTTATTTCCAGTGTGACTGTCTGACTCTTCTATCTTGAGCTATTCAATAACTGGATTGTTAATTGCACATAAATCACTTCCGATCCTACATATGGTGGTCGCGATGAAGTATGAACTGTTGCCATAGGCTAGAAACTGAGGGCTTTATCCAGTCGTTCACACTCAAGCAGTCGGTGAAGAATTGAGTGCTTGAACTGAATTCCTAAACTTTGTTACTGTATTGATCAAGTTGGTGTGAATTGCATCGATTCACCACAAAGTTGGTCGTATGTATGACATTGATGGCAGAATAAGCGTCTGATTAAAGTAGCGTCGGTGTATTCACTCACAAATGATACTTACATAGAATTCAAATCAGTGAGTACGGTATACGATAATTCATCAGCGATTTTCTGGCTCAAGACTTCATACCTATTCTCATCTGTCATGTCGCCCATGATGAGTGTTTCATGGTCTTTCAGCAGCTCGTTTAAGTTGCTTATTTTTATGTTTATCGACTGAAATTTATGACTTAGTAAACGAAGCAGAGTTTTATGCACAAAGCGGTTTTCACAGTGTGCAGTCCGTATTTGTTCTTGGTGCGTTTTTAATATAGTGATCAGCAGCTTTCGTAGCTGCTACTCTGGTCCAGTTTCAGGTCGTATGTAGTTTTTATGTATCCAAGATTCAGAACAATGATGTACCTGCCCTCTTTGGGAGGGGACTATATCATGTACGAGTCAATCAGCCAAATGTTATCACATGCTTTCTAGCTTTTTGTATTGAGTGGTATAAACAGATGGATGTTGTGATTGGGTATAGTTTTGAGCCTGTCTGGAGAGAAAATGTGCACGTTAAACTAGCGACCGATGATGCAGATGTTCTCTGTATTTCGAGAAGTACGGTAAACTCCAATATTTATTCACATCAAATTGCTGTGTAATTTGTAGTTTTTTCACTAGTCTGCACGGGAAGCCGCTGCAGATCTAATCTGGATGATTTTCTAACAAATCGTAAATTCGCAAACACCTTGTATTCTATAGATACTCCCGTCTTCCAACAAAAACCACCTGGTCGCGTAACTGGTTTTGGAAACCCATCTTCAAGCTTCTCAACACAAGATATAAGAGCTGTCAACTCTGGAGTTTCTTATCAGAACGGCTCATCTCTCATGAATAAAGTGAATACAGCTGCTGAAAATTCTCATATAACAACAGGTCTGTTCCCTGCAACGTTCAAATCTATTCCTAGCGATCCGTCTATCAGTGGTCGCCAACCGGTGTTGGGTAGTGCACCGACTAGTCAGGTGCCAGCATATGGGGGATTATCGCAATCTTTTCCAGTGAATGACACTAGGCTCAGTGAGACTAACTTTCTAAAGCCTAGTCCGGCAGATGCTATCGAGACGGGGAAGTGGGATAGGCGAATCGCTAGTACAGAGAAAGTTAGTTCTGTAATGGCTACGCCCATTCCCTTAGCTCAAAGTTCGAATACGGTTACTGAAACAAATGATCAGTGGCCTACTAACCAGTGGGGGGCCAGTGTCAATCAGGTCCAACCGCATTGGAATCCATCACCTGCGGACGCAATGGCGACCAATGGTTCATTTCAGCGCTCTGTTGGTCAAAATATTAAGCGACCTACACTTATGGATCCATCTGCATCTCATATCAGTTTAGTAAATCCCAGCAGTGATATGCCCGTATCAGCTGTTAGATCCCGGGGTTCTGTGGCGAACCCTAAACTGAACTGTCCCCCAGGGAATCTCTCACAATATTCACAACAATGGCCAGGTTTTGCTTCGAATCCCTACTCATATTCTGCGCCACCTCCTGCAGTTACAGACACGTCTTCGTCCAACTGGGGCACTGGATGGGCCCCAAACTATCACGGAAGTTATTAAATGATCCAAAGTGCCGTTTCAAACCGTACATTTTTTCCGAACTACATTGTCGACCAAATAACTTTTGTCAGGAGGCTGTCAAGTTTGTTGATTGCACGGCCTCCAGCAATATTGTTTTCTCTTCTGCATTCGTACAAGTGTAGTACGAAGCACAAATTGTAGCCCCATTAAAGCTAAAGCATTATCTGTAAACAATGTTTTGTTCTTCATACTTTACACTACTGTGTTGAATGTGCAGGCAAGTAATTTGAGTATGAAAGCATTTAAACTGCTGTTATTTGTGGCCAGTTACTATGTTACTAGTGCAATAGTAATAAAATTAAACAAGATCACATTGCAAAAAATTGAGTTAATCATGAAACTGAATCTAGGTGAAGTATCAGCATCATTGTGGTAGTTTTACTAGTCCTTAGGTGCACTGGTTTGGGATAATGGCCTTATTTTGAAAAAAATGACCATAAAAGGGCTGTGTTCTGTTTTATGTCTGCTTGGGTTAAGTGACATAAGTGTCCATAATAACAGGTAACAACATAGGATAGCTGCATAGTGATCTGGGTTGCCACGACTTACATCGACTCATCGCTGTAGGTGTCGACAAACGAAAATACGTCAGGTGGAGAAAACCATGAGCGTATCAGAAAAAGAAAAGATGTAAAATGCTGTATGGATGAAAATGCATCGTGATTCATTCTGCAGTCCATTGTCATCATACCAGTAAGGGATTATTTTGGTGTTACGAAAGATTGTAAGATGGGACATTTGATTTGTTGGCGATATTGTTAGCGTATCTCAACTAGGAAGGTTTCGATTCTGCTTACATTTTCAGATTAACTCCAAGCGCCTCATTACTTTTAGATGTTTTCAGTTTTAGTAGTAATTCGTGTTAAGAATTTGCTGCTGAAAATATGACTAAGGGACTAACACGTGACACGTTCTCCGATCCACCTTTTGTTTTTTTATTTTGCATAACGTGCAACTCAGATTGAAAGTATTCAGCAGGTGCTTTCGTATGCTGAGATTTTTGAGTTGGTGCCCAACAAGTAATTGTGCTATCATTGGTCTGATGACCATTAAGGAAGTTCGTCTATATTGTTTGTTTCGTGTGCGCCACGTGTTTGAAGTCTTGGTGTAAATTGTCTTACTGATTTGCTTGATGCTACCTTTATTAGTATTTTGATGTTTAAGGTCTTATTAAGATGACACGATGTAGTGTCCAAACCTGGGCGTATTGGGTTCGAAAGTTACATGTTTGTAAGTAAGTAGGCTTATTTGCGGGTATGAAAATACCTTGAAAACAATTGTTAACTGATACATTTCGAGGCTTTGTATCATTTCTGCTCCTGATAAGGTAAGACTTGGTGGGCTATTCAGCCATAAGTCAACAAATATCTTCCCCACCGTCTACTCATATAATCGACTTTATCGTCCACAAGACGTAAATCCGGTTATCATTACCATACATATATGACATTCCTTTCCTTATTAATGTTTTTATTCACTCCAGTTTTCCCTTTTCCAGATAACCAAGTTATGATGCAAGAAAGTATCCGTGCGTAAACAGAAAGGATATTAGTTTTAGCGGTAACCTAGTGAAGTCACATTGATGATTTATGGAAAATCTGGTATAAATAGTTGCAAACTGTGAAATAAGGGTAGAGTTAAGGAATGAGCCATAAAATGGCTTGTAAGAAAATTCAAGGATTTCTTTTTTTTGGGGGGGGGGGAGGAGTGAGGAAAGCGAACTCATCCGGTACTATCCATTTGCTTTGTTCTGTAAGTCGACAATCCGCACTAAAAGTGATTTGTTAAGATGTTACGAAATCGTTATGCAGTCAGTTACTTAAGTAATGTTGTCTGATATGCTTAGCGCATGCAGTGCAAACTGGTGAACTAGTCAGCACCTTCAGAGTTATTCTTTGTATTTCATGTTTATGATGGTAAAATTCAGGAGGTATTCTGTTATCGTCTGTGACTTATCTTTGCCTTGCAGTCGTCAAGATCTCATATCAGAATAACCCAGCTTTGTTGATGTTGACATACTGTGACGCTTTAGATCCATAAAATGTTAAATATTGACCCGTAAATTTTATTGCAAGCTGGAAATGAATCATGTAAGCTGAATGCATGCGTTGTTTGGTGATCAGAAGTGAGGAATCTTGAGAAGCATTATCTTGGTGAAATTCCTGCTTTAGGCTAGCTTCACTACTAGTTCGATTACTATATTTCTTTTTTCAGGTACCTTTAGAGGTGAAAAGTTTCGAGTATGAGTCAGATAACTTTACATATTCAGTAACTGGTCCTTTTTGATGACTACAGACCATCTACTTTCGTACTTCCTGAATGTTCTTTTTAGTGAGTTTCAATAATATTCGGTTCGACAATCTAAAATGATCAATTGAATCAACGTGTTTATTACCTTGGTTTCGTGGAACCACGCTCCTGAGTGCATTTTGAAAAGCTGTTATCGAATTCCTTGCCACAAGGCAAGTATAAATAGCTAAAACTCCGACTTTTCCGAGACACGGTATTTGTCATTTTTGTGTTGCACACGGTTCCGAGCATGGTTATTAACCTAGCTGGTATGTTGAGTTCGCATGACTTTAACAAAAGATATTTTTCCTCCTTGGAAACAGCTTCAAAGCCATTTATGTACAGGTATAGAGATGAATCCAAGTGTGGGTAATACTGTCGACTATTTCCTGTTTGACCATAATCTATCCATTCGTTTGCGTGTAACTAAGAATGGTGATATACTCCTGTCGATGACTGCTAAGTTTATGTGGTCACTGAGCTTGCATACAGCAGTGACCCATCAAGCTATACTGGTGTACTACTTGCTTTTTTAAGATCCTACCATGCCAGATAGATCAGTTGGTGAGTGGTAAGATAAAAAGCAGCTACCGTTATGATGGTAGTCCAAGAGTTAAGACATACGGCTACCTGAGGGGGAGTATGAAAGCAACTTGGTGTTTACCACGAATCTTCTCTATGTAGAAAGGAATTAAGAAAAAGTTCACCCCGCATTGTGTTGCATTCTGGTGTCGCCGGTACGACTTCCTAGCCACAATTTAATCAGAGCTAGGATCTCAATTTCCGATAAGGTTATGTGTGATCAGCCTCATTCGATGTCTCTTTGAACTTCGGGGCCACGAACCACTATCAATAGCCTAACTTATTTTCCTGGTGCCTCAAGCAGTAACCGAAGTCATGAACAGTCGGAAAGTGCCAAGTCCTTCTGTCGGCGCTTAAGTCTCTACAGATCATCGTCAACCTTCCACGTATTTGGCTTCCAATCGTTCGTTATGTATCATGTCAACTTGGACCGTTACCCACTAATACCCGGGTCCCAAATTGATGTCGTCTGTCTCTCGTTGAGATTATCAAAACGAGTTATGCGTTCGCTAGCTTTGAACAATGAAAGTCAACTGCACTTCGTACAATGATGTCCTTGAAATACGATTACGGACTTTTATTAACAATGACAAACAGATCTTTTGGAAAATCGATTGAATTCCGTCCTAAACATCATATTTTGCATCGAGGAACAAAATAGCTTCATCACTTTTCATGACAGCAACATATCATACAAAATTCCATGACTTCAATCCACTTCCTTGTTGAGTTTCAAGGTAGAAAGTGTACTGTTCAGCTGGATCCGAGATGAGTGGCCTATGCACTGTTTGAGTGAACGGTAGAGCAAAGACTAACAGGAATAGTGAAACTCATCGTCGTGTTATCTTAGTCTCTCCCTACGCAACGACTATCGCAGTTCAGATTAAGTGATACCGAAAACTGACACTTTGAAAGGCAAGTATTGACATGTTAAAGCCACTTGATTTAAATGCGCCAGTGGGCTGGCCAGATCAAATTGGCACTTAAGAGACACTTGGGATCCCGGCATAACGAATGCATGACGGCGATCACTTACAATAATGCTCAGAAAACTGCCCATATCTGGACACAGGACCGTACGGTGTGACGACCACCGACGTAAACGCAACGGTTAGCCATATTGCTACCAGTTATCTATGCAGAGGGTTGGCGAGAGCCTTCCATTTCCCTGAGGCACTTGTTTGGAGGGCATTTGCGTGCAGATCGGCTCCCAAATGGACACTGACAAGCTCATTCCAATCGCAAGTCGGTTACTTGAATACTAAGGTCACTGTCAATAAGTAACTGGCCAGACAGCTATCGAGAAAAATAACGTTATGCATTCGGAGCGAACCTGGTGCCGTCTCCAGTCTGCTGTAAAAACAACACTGAAAACCGTAGACGATTCATAAAATGGTGGTTGAAAGGCCAGCGGATATCAGCAGCTTCTGAATTACTAGACGCTTGAAAATATTACTGCAACCTGGAGCCTAATTGAAAGCGAAATCAACTTAAATTAGGACTGCTAAAAAGTCCAGTCAGTGAAGGGCAGCGAAGTGTGTTACGATTGGTTGTAGTAGGCACTTAAACTATCAGGGAAGCTTAAGACTAGTAAGAAAGGCTGGTGCTTAGCCCACAGGGAAAACAACTGGAAGGATTGGCGAAGCACTTTGAAAAATGCCAAGTGGCCTCCGCTGTCCAATCGAATACTCAGGCTGAGCCTCCAACTCTAGCCGAAGTCATAAAGACTATAGGTAACCTGAAACAAAAAAGAACAGATGGACTTACCTACTCGCGGAGATACTAAAGGACTATGGTTGTGAGTTTCTAGTCAAACTAACTGAAGTGTTAGCCAGCATACGGAGATGAAATATGATCTTGCTCCTACTTCATTCTTCAAAAAGGGTAGAAGTTCTGAGGTAACCAATAAAAAAGCATCATTTGAATAGGGTTCTTTAGTTATGAAACGTTTAGATGGGACCCAGTGAGGCGCGTTTCAGATATAGTCGTCTGTGCTTCATCCGAATTTTAACGCTCAACTAGGTCATACGACTCTTTGAGGTTGAGAAGGCTGTATCGTAGCTGAAACGGTACAAAGGAGCAGGAACTGACAGTTTGCTACCTGAAGTTTTCCAGGATAAAGGTAGGAGATTGCTTAAAGGGATGAAGGTACTAGGTAGTGTTCGGGAATCAGAGGTAGTCCCGTCAAACTGGTGTACTTCACTGATCATTTTACTCTGTAGGAAGGGAGAAGAGTTTTGGTGTGACAACCATAGAGAAGTTAGTCTGACCAATATTGTCTCCAGGATTCAAGGGTGCGTAGTTTTCTGACACTTAGCTGCAGCTCAAGAAAAAACCAGGTGTTTCAAACCTGGACAAGGGTGCATCGATCATATTTTCATCATCCGACAAGTTCTGTAACGCGGGCATGCGTGCCGGCCAATGGCCGACATTTGTCATATTTCTTGACCTAAAAGCGTCATATGACTTAGTCGACCGTGAGGTGTTGCGACAGTGTCTGGCTGTGATACGAGTTCCGAGCAAGTACACAGTACTGAAGGAAGCTTTCTACTTGGACTCACGCACGGGTGTCAGGGTTTATGGAGAGTTGTGGATTGATCATAACTAGTGGTGTCTTGTAGAGATGCCCATTATCACCGTTTCTATTCAACTTCTTTGAAGACTTACTAATGAACATAACTTGAGATACCTGAAACTTCACAGGGATTGATCTACTATCTGTATGCCATCCGATTGACTTGGAGTATGCAGATGATATTGTCTTGTTAGGGTAGATGAAGACGGCAATAAAATGCAGAGTTTTCTGAACGCGTTGGTCGTTGACAAAATCTCGGATACAGAAAACTCTTTGGGCGCTTGGTAACTTACATCATCTGTGGTGCTAATTGACGAGATATCCAACTACCTATCAAAGGACGAGCATACTTCACTGCAATCCGTTCTGTCCTGTTGTACGACTGTGAGACATGGCTGTCAAAAGTAGAAAGCATGAACCAACTACAGGGATTGAATCACGGATGCCTTCGTGGGATTGCTCGCGTTTAGTGGCATCACCATATGTGCAATGATGAGATCAGGTGAAGAGTACTAGGCAAGACAGGCAAGTCGATTGACAAGGTTGTGGGCCTTCATCAGCTGAGATAGCTTGGACATGCACTGCATACGCCGATCCATTGCCTACCTCCACGTGCTTACGCTGGGTAAAGTTGGATTGTGTTGGAAGATGGTTCAGGGTCGCCAAACTAAGACGTAGCACCAATCAGTAGTCTCAATGTTTGTCTGGGTCATGACGGGTGTCCGTGACGAAAGGAGTTAGTGGTGGAGGACAGACTTTTGGTGACATGTCTGAAAAGAGGTCAGCGGTGAAGATGTATTAACTCCTTGACCTCTAGGGGTTAGGTGTTCGCATCGACTTTTATCTTAAAACTGTTGACTCTAACATAGGTTTGTATACTATGTCACTTTTTTTTATCCACCTGTTCTTTGTTTCCTAGTGTGAAGTGTGGCAACTTTAGCCGAAGAACTAGTATGTGGGGTTCTACGTTGATTTTGACAGTTTCGAGAGCACAGCCCCACTGACGGACGCCTATTACCAGCTATATTTCTTGACTTCAGGTTTAAATGTTTCTTAGTATTGTCACGCATTGAAAAGGAAGCCGGGTCAATACAACATATTGATAAAATTTTGAGGGGGTTGTGGAGATTTGGAAATATTTCAAGTTGTTATTCATCGAAGACTGACATCAGTTGGAGGAACAAAGGAAACCTGGGAGCACTGGACAGCTGTTTCGTCCTAGTATGGGACTCCTCAGCAGTGCGCACCCACGACCCCACACCAGCAGGGATCGAACCCGCGACCTTCAGGTTCCGCGACCAGCGCGTTACCATTGAGCTAGCCACTGGGTCAGAATCCAATGCTCCATATTTCCAACTTCTGTTAGCTCACGATATAGCGCAGACCGCCACTTTGTTCCTCCAACTGATGTCAGTCTTCGATGAATAACAACTTGAAATATTGATAAAAGCTCTACCTTGAGACTTTTGAGGTGTTAGAACCGATGGTGAGTTCTATGCTTCGAATGATGTCCATCAAGGATAGCTTTTCTTCACTATTGTGCAATTTTGTTACAATAGTTTCTTTTAGAGGCCTCCCTCCCCTCTCGCTTTGCATGGATTGACTGTATCCTATGAGACTTCTTGGTGGGACGGAGGTATTGCAGATGACCAGTGGGTGAAGACGCTAACAAGATGCAAAGTCTACCGAACATCTCGAGTGGTAAATTTAGAATGCTTGGGATGCGTTTCTCACCACCTAAATGTAAATTGTTGGTCAGGAATCGGTCTGCGTTTTTGCATTGTCTAACAATAAGGAGTTGGGCGGTTGAACCCGCTGGCTACTGCGCTTAGTGTCTGATAAGTTCTGCGGGATCACGGAACAAAAAATCTGTGCCTGCATAAAAAGGTTTTGTTTGGTCTTCATAAACTTAGGACATTCACGCAATGTTATCCGACTGCCTGTTAAGGGTCAACTGAACTATGCTGCATCTCTACACTCTGCTCTATGGCTGTGAAAATTGGCCATTAAAAGTAGAAAACATGCTCAGCCCTTAGATGTTCAACCATCATTGCTTTTGTAGCACAGGACGTGAGTCGTGGTGCCGCCAAATTAGTTACGTAGACCAGAGGAAAGTCAGTGAGATTTTCTATCTTCATCGACTCAGATGGTTTAGGCGCTTCAAGCATCCCTAGTTATCCTTTGCCCGTAGCAAAATCGTAGGTTTATGCTTGAAGGGCGGCCAAACCGAAAAATGACGGTCTATGAAGTGTTGGCTAATGGTTTGAACCTTGTAGACGAATTCGAACTATCCCTTGGACTCCACGTGACAACCGAGATCGGTGGTTACAGATTCTTAGTGATGTGTCCAAATCTCTCTCGCTGGCTCCATCCATCCATATCAACCTAGGACCAGGCATTACTGCGTAACACTCCAAGTTGCCACGCCTCATATCACTACATGAAATAAAAAGACAGGTGCAAGATGAAGATAAAAGATTGCAGTCAAAAGAAATATGAAGTACGAAAAGAGAGGAACGAAGAGTGAGGAAGGAAGTGGTGAGATTCAGTATAGCGTCGTTGAGATGATGTGTGTATACATCTGTGCCACTGACATCGGTTCTGAGCCAGATGCATCTACAAGTTGTCTTCGTCTCGTTCGTCATGCCGAAACTCACTATTGTCGTATTCTGTTTTTAAGAATAGCTATATTTGTGATTACTTTCATCCGTATTCATCTGCCTTTCACCTTAGTACCTTTTCACTTAAAGTTCTAGTGTGAAAGATGTTACAAACTCATTCGTTACGTGAGAATATCAGCTCCTATTTCTGATATTGACTAAATTTGTTTGCGCAACTATTGTCTAAATTCGGTGATGCAATAGGTAAGCTATATCGGAAACTGTTAACTACCTAGGTTCTGTTTTAGGTGTTATCGCTATGATACCCAACTTCAAATTACAAGTAGAAGCGCTATAATACGTGGTAAGGTACCTGGTGTTTGACTTGCGGATGCTTGTCCAGCGATTCTTTTGTGATGTCTTAGAAACTATCTTTGCCTAGCCAGTGCTAATTCCATTTATGAGAGATATTCCTGTTGGATGACCATAGAAATCAAAGATGAATTGTTTTGTCTCTACTTGTTGAAAAAATCATTTTGGGTTTTCGACACTTTATGAAGTATATGCCTCGACAGTGCTCAGGCGTCGACTCGCTGATGCATATGTTCGCCTATTGATGGACAGACGTAGAATATAACCAAGGGACATTTTTGAGTCGTGTTTCATGACTGTGGTATCAGAGATAGATTCCAAATTGCTGGTGTAACATTAAAGGGTATGCACTAAGGACAGTGTTCATCATCGTATATCGAAAGATATAGACCACAATATAATAGCCGACAGTAGGCACCGTTCAAGAATTATGATCTCTTCAGAGGGGAGATTTCAGTGCTTGTCTCGATTGCTGTGGATCCTTCCTGTGTACGTGAATCACAATGGTTAATTTCAGACTATTGGCTTATCAGACGTAGACAAAAATTAAGATTTATTTAATCGAAAATGTTTTCGAAACTGATGAAAAGAGTTAGTCACAAGTAAAAAGGATTTTGTGAAATTTTTTATTACTGAAAATCATGGTACTAACTACAGTACCAAATGGTGGTTGTAAGTTTATGAAATGTAGATGAACAACTGCGCGGTTGTTTATTAATCGGTAGTTAGTAGTCATTGCCTTGAATTATTGTTACGAAATACCAAGGGGACATTTTGTATGTTCTCTGAAATCATCTCAGCACTTCGAATATCAACAGGTCGAAAGTCCTGGATCTTCCGCTCGAAAGCTTCGGAAAATAACACATTTTATCTTCACTTAACAAAACCATGCCATTTGCATACTCTGGGTTCCTTGAGTTGTACACCCCCTGGAAGGTAGATAGACAGCCTTCGTCACCAATTTATCTAAGGTTTGGTTAAACATTGACGTAGTTAGTTGACATCCTTGGATGGTTATCATCTCCGATGACAAACAAGAACTTTCTTTCCAGATTATGCAAGTTTGAGTAGAGACCATACTGTAGCGTAGCGTTTGTTCGATTTCTCCCTCAGCATACATTCGTGTTGCGCCATTTTCCTAAGGCTCTCTTCACTCACTATAATATTTTTTGTTTATATCACCTCAGACTTAGGGTGATGCTGAAAGAGGCTGTTTGCGTTATCAGTTTTACGTAGCCTAACAATCTTTCTTATAATTTCAAATAGTTTCCATTTGTATGCAGAAACCTCTTACAAATGTTAGTGGATCGTTAACCCGTAAGTGTGATTCCTGTTTTTAAAAGTTCCATTTCGACTTAATTGTCATATTTTTATCACCCAAGTAATTGGGCTGTAGTAACCAGCACGTAGTTTTTCTGGTCCTACTGCTGCAGAAAAACCAAAATCAGTATTACCTCATGTAACGACTGCGCTGTTGTGTAAAATTACGTCTCAGGAGAGACCTGATCGCGATGCCATACTCGCGATTGTATGTATGGACAGACAGTTGTTCTTGATGTACCTCTGTCAGTTCCATACACTGTCAAAGAAGATACTGAATACCTACGAGTTACAACATCAGTCGAAGTACGTCAGATTTTTGACGTCATCTGACGTCCTCCAACAGTCTAACGTCGGGTATGCTATTTTTTTTAGAAACGTTTTCAGATTCGAAGTATGCCTGATTCATCAGTTACTTTTTTCTATTATGGTAGTTCATTAAGCTTGCCTTGACTCCGAGAACAGTAACCATATTTCTTGAATAGTGATCTGTTGACAAATGCCTGGATGTTTTTCCAACAGAATGGTTTTAAATGAAACAAACTGCCTTTTGATGATATCTGTTTATAGCAAGTATGCGTCTACTAGCAGAAGAATTCAACATAGAACCAACTACTACTGCGTAGTGGTCCAAGTTGCCACACGACGTATTAACACATCAAACGAGAGAGTTTTAAGATAGAAAGTAAAGAACTAGTAAAGATAGCCATCAAAGTTGTGGGAAGTGGTTAGATAACAAGGAGGGATAAGAAAGTACTGAATTCAATATGGATAAATTAATTCCAGCTTACTAGAATAAAAAGTTGATCCATTGAAGAAACGTGAATGACTGACAGACTGAAAAATAAAAGTAGAATCGTATCTGGAAGTCCATAGCTTCATCATCTAGAATGATTATGAATAGTGATGAGTAGCGAAAGTAAAACGTTACTTCAGACGACGTAGACCGCGATAATCTAGAGGAGAAATCATTTGCATGACAGATTGAAAGTTAGAATTGCTTAGCGATAGCCACAAATGTTTAGTTCGAATAATCAGTCGTATTTTAGATCTAAAGGTATACCAACTATTCACTCCCTGACCTATATTTACCTTCACGTAGTGGTCGGACTTGTTTATCACAATGAGCCAACGAGCTACATTGATTGGAGCGCTTTTTTCTCGAGGTCCTGCCATATCAGAAAGGTCATTTGGATTTTGGTAAGACAAAGCAGTTACGAATAAAATATAAATTCGTATACTATGATGGGGGTTCGAGGGCGAAGTCGAATTGCTGGCTGTATAGGGTGTGATAGTAGTTGGAGTTTTTACCGCTGGATGACCAGGAGTGCCATGCGTATGATATCTTCCTTACAGGGTAAGTGGGGTTAGGGAAGACCAACCTTAAATATTGCACACTTTCTCCTACTCCGCGATTTGTCGATGCCAACCATATGACATAATCGGAGTCAAACTAACAAGCTTAAATCTAAAACCTGGAAAGGCCATGTGTGACTGTTTCGCTGCGGATGTCTTTTGGACTCCGCGATCGCTTACCAAGAAGTAGCTGGGAAGTATCAGCCATCCTCACAACTATGTCGACACTCAAAATCTGTTGACTTGGAGAGATACTGAGACACCTTTTAATATTCATATGTTCTAACTTGAAGAGCATTTGGTACCATCTATCGAAGTTTTGTGGGCATGACGATAATAGTATTTGACATGGCGTAGTTCTTAGGCATCCAACTGTGAGGTGCGTCATTCTACTTGGTTGTCTGGCCCTAAGTTTGTAGAACGAAATTTGAACCCTGTTACACTATAGCACGAATGTAGTCCAGTCTTATTTGTTTCTTAAGCAGTATCAGATTTCGTTATTTTCTTTGAAGAAAGCATGGGTTCTCGGTTTGAACCTTGCTCCATGAAATAAGGCTTGCGTAAGAAGTATGAACTTGTTATGCAACGAGTGTTTCACCGTCAGTAGACGTCTTCACCAGTTGATAATTCTCTAAATTTTTCGATTTTGCTA